TACTTATATTCCTAACTGGAAGGGCTTCTGTTAGTGTTCCGTTTGAGTGTTTCTCAGGGCTGGGCATAGGGTGGGTAAGAGAGGTATTCATTTCAGGTGCAAAATTTGAGGAGGCATCAAAAAACTCAATAATCAAGAAAAATATTTCTAATACAATACTTTTTAAAATCAAAATTAATGCAAAAATTATGATGAACAAAATTTTAAATAAAGGCAGCGTGTGACCCTGCACAACTCTGCCTCATTTCCTTCACCCGAGGCCTACCACTGTTTCAATCCCCTGCTTTGGAGAGAAGAGTTAGTGGTCTGTGGGTGGTTTGGAGACAAGGAACCAAGTGGTGTGCTCTTCCTTCAGAGTTGACCAACCTGCTCTGCTCCTCCATGCTGTAAGCATTACCTGTTTAGGCCCCGCTATGGGAGGGTTTGCAGCTGGCCAGAGCTGCCAGGGTCTCTGAAGTACAGTCATATGTCTTTTAACAACAAGGACACTTTCTGAGGTATGCATCATTAGGTGATTTTGTTGTTGTGCAAATGTAAGCAAACATCAGTATACTTACAGGAACCTAGATGATATAGCCTACTACATATCTAGACTACATGGGATAGCCTATTGCTTCCAGGCTACAAACCTGGATAGCATGTTAACTGTACTGAGTTCTCTAGGCAATTGTAACATAATGGGGAAGATTTGTGTATGTAGGCACATCTAAACATAGAAAAGATACAGTAAAAATATGGCATAAAAAAATTTTTTTAAATGTATGCTTATATAGGACACTTACCATGAATGGAGCTTACAGGACTGGAAGTTGCTCTGGGTCAATGTTAGTGTGAAACTGACCCAGTTGTCCCATAGAGCTGGTGTTTATGGTCTCCTTAACTAAACATATAAATAGATCCTCCCAGTTTTAAAACTTGAAAAACTTATATTTATCTGAGTTCCTGTCACAGGAAACCAACCATCAGACCTCCCAGATAGTAGCAAGGAGCTTAAACTCATCAAATTACTTCATTTGGATGATGTTAGATCTCTCATCCCCATCATGATTGCCTAACTGACCACCTGCTTCCTATTGACCAACTCCTCTTTCCTATCCCCCTAATTCCTGTTTCCCCACACATCATTACATTTCTTCCCTGCTTTATAAATCCCTAATTTTACTGATCCAGAGAGATGGATTTGAGACTGATCTTCCATCTCCTTGGCAGTTAGTAGCACTTGATTAAAGTCTTCTTTCTTAGCAATATCCATTGGGTCAGTGATTGGCTTTCTGTGCAGTGTGCAGCAGGACCCAGATCGAAGCCCTGGTGTTTTGGTAACAAAAGAGTGGTGAGTTAATGTGAAGGCCTAAAACATTACTGCACACTGCTGTAGACTTTATAAACATTGTACTCCTAGGATAAACTCAATTTATTTTAAAATAGTTCTTTTTCTTCAATAATAAATTAACCCTAGCTTACTATAACTTTTTTATTTTATAAACTTTTTAATTTTTTTAAATTTTTTCTTTTTTTAAAGCACTTAGTTTAAAACACAAACACATTGTAGAGTGGTACAAAATATTTTATTTCCTTACATCTTTATTGCATAAACTTTTTTCCATTTAAAAAAATTAACTATTTTGTTAAAAGCTAAGACACAAGCACACACATTAGCCTCTGCCTACACAGGGTCGGGATCATCAATATCATTGTCTTCCACGTCCATATCTTGTCCCACCAGAGGTCTTCAGGAGCAATAACATACATGGCGCTGTTACCTCCTATGATGACAATGCCTTCTTCTGGAATACCTACTGTAGTCTCTGCCTGAGGCTGTTTTATAGCTAACATTTAAGAAAAAAAAAAAAACTAGAAGGAGTATACTCTAAAATACCAATAACAAACATTGTAAAGTAAATACATAAACCAATGACATAGTCACATATTATCATTACCAAGTATTATGGATTGCACACAATTATATGTGTTATATGTACCTTTATAAGATTGGCAAAGCAGTTGCCAATATCAGCACAAACATGTGAGCCATGTATTGCACTGTGACTTTAGGATGGCTACAATGTCAAAAGCAATGGAAATTTTTCAGCTCCATTATAATCTCATGAGACCAATGTTATATACACTCTGTCATTGACTAAAACATTATTATGTGGCACATGACTGTGTTAGCAAGCCCACCTTGCTGAGAGACCAAGCATCAGGTTCCCCAACAACAGTCTTGGTGAAAATGATATTTTCCTCTCCAACTGCCAAACTTTTGTGGATGTGTGTTTTTCTCAATAGATTCTAAATTCAGATAAGGGAAAGGGGGTCCCTGGTGCTGCATCCTCTAACATCCACTTATGTAATACTGGAACTCCTGCACATTCTTGTAGTCATCATAACAAATAGTCATATATTATACAGATGTTGTGCATCAGTAACCCTTTCCTATGTGTTTTAGAATGATAGTGGTAGGGCCATTCAAATACCTGTATCTTAAGTTCACCCGAAATAAACTAAAAATATTCTTTATTCTGTATGGGTTTGCTTCTGTTTCATTCTGTAGACAGTACTTGAAAGAAGAACTAGTCAGATTTTAGTTAGATCCTAAATGATCTTAGGCCCACTTTTCAGGACCTTCAAAGAGAGCCCATCACTGCCACCAATTATCACTAGTTGTTAACTTTCCATACATAACACAATATGAATTGCACCAAACTCTGTCTTCAATTGGCTTGTAGTCTGAAATAGGCCAAACCAAATAATACAGACTGCGTGGAAAATGGAAAATGTATTGATTAAGTAGTTAAGGGCACAGAAATATCTTCTTAACAGAGAGAATGAATTCCATGACTGCACGTCCTGATTTGAGTCTTAATTACACAAGGTAGAAATAAGATGGGGACCCATAATAGTGGTGTTCCCAGAGAAGAGGGGCATGGTACAACAACAGTATTATGCAGTAAGAAAAATTAAGTGTACATAAAATAATCAGCCATGTTTCTGAGAATTTTGATGCCTGAAGAGAAGAGGAGAGGGACAGAGCTGAAGTGTACTTGACAGAGAGGAGAGAGAATGACCTGAGGCCAGGAAGGTGGGAGGTAGGATGATACTGTCAGACAACATATACCAGGCTCTAGAAATTATTGTCAAAAGGGGACATAGCTTCCCTTGTCGATAGCCAGCCACCTGCTTTCACATGCATGCTTCAACCTCCATACAACCTTCATCACTTGCTTGCTAATGCCAGGAATTCTTTTATCTGCAAATGAAGGTATTTATAAAAAGTCAGATGAAGAATCATTGAATCCAAATATATATTGAGATCACAAATGGAACTCAATCACACTAAAATGTAGGCAGTTAATCAATCATTAGACTCCTCCTCTAATGAGGCAAGGACTGAAATATGAAGATGAAGACATGCATGCACTGGTTATACCTCAGTACCTCGCACAGCATCAGGAATAGCAGGTGCTAGACAAATATTTGTTGCCTGAAGAAGTCAATGAAGGAATGGAAATGGGGTAAGATAAAGAGAGAGAGAGGGTTGATCAGGAGGTGCTATGAAAAAGCAGGGAAGCAAGAGATAAAAGTGTGTGCATGCACACAGGTGAGGAGGGAATGGCTGGCCCATCCTGACAGACATTTCTCCAGGTGCTTTGTGTTTTTTCATGAATTTTTACAACAGTCATGTATGTAAACCATTAAATAATATGTTCAACTTGTCATAGCAGAAAATCCAACAGACAGCAGCTTAAACAAATAGGGGATTATTTTCCTATACAACTGCCTGACTTTTGTGGATGTATGTGTCTCTCAGTAGATTCTGAATTAAGGCAAGGGAAAGGGATACTTGGTGCTGAATCCTCTAAAATCCATACACACAATAGTAGGACTTCTGCACCTCCTTGTAGTCATCATAACAGATAGTCTTATGTTACACAGAAGTGTGTATCAATCACTCTTTCCTATGTGTTCAAGGTAACAAGGTCTATGGAGGTAGGTGAAGACTGGTGTTAGTTTAGTGTATCAACAAGTCTAGCAACTTTATGAGTCTGTTTTATAATATAGCAGCTTCAATTTCCTACCTGAGGTCCATATTCAGAGAGAAAAATAAAGAATAAGACAGAACCAGTGTATCTTTCTATTTTCTCAGGAAAGTAAGTCTCCAAGAATCCTCATCAGATTTCTACTTAGCACTCATTGGTTAGAGATGTGTCACCTTGTCCACTTTTCAGCAAAAATGTTCAGGAATACAAATCCTTTTTCTGGTCAGCTTGACATTCTGAATGAAATCTAGGTTTGGTTAGTAATGAAAAAAAGGTGAATAGATTTTGAGTAGGCAATAGTTTGCTAATGCAATGATAGAAAATTATCACAAATGCAGCAGCTCAAAATAACGTAATAGAAGAGAGTCTTTCCAAATGCAACACACACTTATTATATCCCAGTTTCTGTGAATGTGGAGTTTGGGGATGACTTCGCTGGGTCCTCTGCTCAGGATCTGACAAGGCTACAATCAAATGTCAGATGATCTGTGTTCCTTTACAGAGCTTGGAGTCCTCTTTCAAGTTCACATTGTCATTTACTGAATTCATTTCCATGCTGCTATATCACCAATGCTCTCAGGTCCTATAAGCTGCCCACACTGTCCTACCGTAAGGTCCTCCCTCTTCACACTGTGCACATCACAGCAGCTTGCGTTGAGATCAGCAACAGAGCCTCTATCTCTTTCCTTCTGTCTCTTTCTCTCTCCTCTCTCCCTCTCATCTGCTGATATGGTTTGTCTGTGTCTCTACTCAAATCTCATCTTCAATTGTGGCTCCCATAATTCCCATGTGTTGTGGGATGGAGCTGGTAGGAGATAATTGAATTACGGGGGCAGTTTCCCCCATACTGTTCTTGTGGTAGTGAGCAAATCTCACGAGCTCTGATGCTTTCATATAAGGAGTTTCCCTTTTGCTTCGCTCTCATTTTCTCTGTTTGCCTGCTGGGATGTAAAACGGCTTTGCTCCTCCTTGACTTCCACCATGATTGTGAGGCCTCCTCAGCCATGTGGTACTGTGAGTCAGTTAAACCTTTTTCTTTATAAATTACCCAGTCTCCAATATGTCTTTATCATCAGCATGAGAATGAATTAATACACCTGCCAAGATGAAGTCTCATATAACAAAATGTGATAATGGGAGTGACAGCCCATCACCTTTACAACATAACATCATCTAGTCAAGGGGGTGACATCCCATAGCTTTTGCCATATTCCTTTGTTTAGAAACACATTGACATGTAAGGAGAGGGGAATCAGACAAGGGCATGGATCACTAGTATTCCACAGGGGTTGTCCTAAGGTGTGTCTGCCACAGCAATAACGATGTAACAGAGAAACCAAAAGGGGTTTCATTGAAACTTAGAATTCTACTTAGGTCACCAGCCAATACTGTCTGAGAACTCCAGATGTCCGACTAGGTGAGCATTTTCTAAAATATCTTTTATAAGCATCACTTTTACAAGATAGTATCTGGTGTGTTTAGGAGAAACAGTTGTGGAATGCTAGAATAACTAAAGTTAAACAGGTTTCCTTAATTAAAAACTTTCTATCACTTTTATTGTAAATCTCATAGGAATGAAAGCCTTCCCAAATTAACCTGATGCTGCAACGCTTTTGTTCAGAAAACAATAATAGTAATAGCCAACAACCATCAAGCACGTTCTATGCCACAGGCATTATTCTACACAGGATCATGAGTCAATAATACTGAAGGGGCTGCCAGAGGCTGTGCGTGAGTGTGCTTGTGTGCATGGCACATGTGCTGCTATATGTAGCTCCAGGAAAATATATGCCAATATATTGGTAGTGCAGCTTCTCCTTCTCCTCCCTCCAACCTCCACAACTTCCAATCTCCCACCAATATCTGCAGCAAAGGGGCCTAGAAGAGGTAGTGACAAAAGGGTGAGAAGGATGAACTTGAAGCAGAGAAAAAAGACACCATTCCACACATCTTCAGACACAGGGAACATCATTTTAACAACCACTAAACAGCTCGGATCCAGATCTCTGATTCCAGGTCTATCACCTTGCTAGTTCTGTTGTGGCAATGCGTATTAAAGAAAAAGAGTGGCTGATTTGCTAATCACACATCCTGTAACAAGATCCATTCCTATCTAAAACTTTTATCTGAAGTAAAGGGATAGATCAGAAGCTGCAGCTTTTATAGTATTCTCCCTGAACTTACCAAGATTGCTTTATGTTTTTATTTTGTTACAATCTCCCTTAATTCCTGACTTCCTTTGGCTGGTTATCCATTCCCTGAGATTTGTTTTCTCAAAAGAAGTATTGAGGATGTTGTTAGCTGGCAGCCAGGAAGTGGGTGTCACCTCCACACAAGGTCAGCGGAGGGCTACAGTCAGCATCATGGGAAGGGGACTCTTAGCAAGGAAACATGGCTGTGCATTTCTCCAAGGCCACGTGACAAGCAAGAATCCTCTAGAGCTAGACAAGAGGAAATATTCCAGGAATGGCTTTGTGGTTGGCTGATCATTTGCACCAAGTCCTAAGAGAATTTTTAAGGAACCTGCCCAAGCTCAGCTTATCTATGTAAAAACTTTACTTGAATTCTTTGTTTCTTCATTTTCTACATTAAGATGTCAAAATGAAACATAATTGGGCAGTTAGCAGCATTGCAAAAGCAATGTACTAAGATGTAACCCATTCATAAATAAACCCTATTACTTAATAGTTTACATACAGAAAATTATTTTTAGCTTTTGAAAATAACCAAGGAAATTCTCAGAAAATTTTAGGAGAAAACCTCAAGAGAAAACCTCTCACAGACATGCAGGAGTCTGATAACAGTTTACAATATTCATCTGACCTAATTTTTTTTTACTTGTTGCAACATGGGCTTGCTCTAGATCATACTGTCTTTAATTGCTGCATTTGCTTTGCACTGGACTGTTTGCCTTTCTTCAGTTAACTGAAGGAATTTTCCTGCATGAAATGATACAAACAAAGGTCAGATATCTGGGACCAGAGTGTCAGCAGAAGCCCATGTTCTGGACTGTAAAGGGTAAATTACCACTGATCACAAAGAGAAAGAGAGAGAGTAATTGGGTCTTGGTTTTCTGTTTTCCTGCAGGAAGAGAATTGTGTTTTTCACATGTCCATTTCCACTTAAGGAAATTGTAAAACACATAGCAGATTACAGTTTTCAAACATTCTGAATTACCTTCATTATCTGCATTTTAAAAGCGAAAGTCTTTTTCTGAACGTGTTAATTCCTGAGCTTCTATCATAATCTTCTTTCTCACTATGCAAGGATTTCTTCCCAGCACATGTTTGTGTATTTTGAGGACTAACTAGTATTTCAAACTTCAGTATTCTGGCTTTTCTTTACCAACACTAATGAGAATTATTCTTGGATAACGTTGTGCATTAATTATGGCTCCAGAGAGCAAGAATCTATTCAAGTTCAAGTTAGGTTAATTCTAATTAGCACAAAGGTTAGAGATTGAATTTGAAAAGCTACTGTAGTAAGCCATGAACCAACCAGGAAAACCACAGGTTTTCTCTATGTGTAGTGATATACTGTTTGCTTATTTGTTAACACAAGCCGTAGCTCAGCAAGGGGCTGGATCATCAAACAGCAATGAGACCTGGAAAGGATGTGGATAGTCGGACAGGGGCAGGGAGAAGAAAGTGCATTAATAGGAATTAACAGAAAATATATTGTATAATCAATCCCTCAACTCAGAAGGTAGCAACCTTTTCCTGTCAAAAGTCAGATAGTAAACATTTTAGGCTGTGTGGACCACATTCAATCTCTGCAGCCAATTGTTCTTTGTTTATTTTTCTTAGAATGCTTTAAAAGATAAAAGCTATTTTTAATTCTTAGACCGAACACAAACATGCCAGACTGGGCCAATGAACTGTAGTTTGTGAACCCTGCTTAGTCCATTCACACACAGCCATTAAAATTGAACTTTTAAAAAAATACATTCAGAAATAAAGACTCCTGGTTGTTTAAAAATAATTCAGTCAGGTCACGGTTCTAATATGAGAAAACTTCTAGGTTATTAAAATATAATCCAGGTTGGGCGAGGCGCTGTGACTCACGCTTGTAATCCCACCACTTTGGGAGGCCAAGGTGGGCAGATCACTTGAGATCAAGAGTTCAAGGCCCGCCTGGCCAACATGGTGAAAGCCCATCTCTACTAAAAATACAAAAATTGGCTGAATGTGGTGCTGCGGGCCTGTAATCTCAGCTACTTGGGATGCTGAGACAGGAGAATTGCTTGAACTCAGGAGGCAGAGGGTGCAGTGAACTGAGATCATACCACTGCACTCCAGCCTGGGTGACAGAGCCAGACTCCATCTCAATAATAATAATAATAATAATAATAATCCAAGGTTTAAGTCAAAGAGACAGATGTATTTGTCAGTTTTTGTTTTCTTCCACACCTCCCAAAAGGATGTGTGATTTTGATAAAAATATTTTTTTATTTTTTAGGACTGTGAGAAACTGTCTGGGCTTAGAGAAACTCTGTCAATCTTGGATTGAGTGCCTATTCTCCTTCATACAGTTATAAGAAATAATATTACAATGTCCAAACCTTTCAGTTACAAATCATAATATACAAAAGTATATAATACAACTTGTTATTTAACCACTCTTATTTATTACTGAAAAGTGATAGTGTACAGTTAAGATAATTGTCCACACAAATGAAGCAGAATATTCTTATCATTTATATTTATCAAAATATAATGCTGTAGTATCGGCCTGGTTTTATGAATGAGTTACCTTCATGTCTATATTTCATTTTATATTAGACCAAGGGCAATTTCTAGCCCAACTCTTTAACCATTGCCCTAACCCCACCCCTTAAACACCATCCCTGTGCCATTTTTTACTCCCATTTTACAGCTTATGTCCTTTCCCTTAATTCTCATAAAGTTTTCACATATAGTTTTACTTTTGAATGTCACACTAAATAGCATGGATTGAATTGTGTGCCCCCAAAAATTCGTATGTGAAAGCCCTAACCTCCAGTGCCTGCGAGTCTGATTATATTTGAAATTTGGAGATGAAGTCTTGAAAGAGGTAACTAAATTAAAATGAAGTCACTAGGGTGGGCCATAATACCATATGACAGGACCTTGTAATAAGAGATTAGGACACAGACCACACTTCAGAAGGATGACCATGTGAGGACACAGTTAGAAGGTGGCTATCTTCAAGCCAAGGAGAGAGGCCTCCGGAAAAAAACAAACTGCCAACGCATTGATCTTGGACTTCTAGCCTCCAGAATTGTGAGAATATAAATTTCTGTTGTTTAAGTCATCCAATGTGTGGTATTTTATATGACAACCCTAGGAAATTAATACCCTGGATAAATTACAAACTTTCAATATGGAGAAACAGCCCAGACATGTGCATAACAGTCAGAGGTTCCAAAAAGAAGAGCTTTTAAAATCAAGATTCTAGTCAAGTTATTTACTTCCTGATGGTAAATTGCAACCATTAAAAAATAGAGACGTGTTATAAGGATTAATGAGATCACATTGGCTAAGTGCTCCTTTAGAGATAATTCCATAATTTACCACCTGGGCACATGATTTTTAAAAACCTAGTTTTCTTTCATGTGCAATGTATAGTCAGCAACACCAGCAGCCTTCATTAATCTTCTTTCTTTCTTTTTTTTTTTTTAATTAACTAATGTTGTTATAGGAAGGGGTGTTATGAATCAAGCCTAAAAATAAGGAATCTTAAATAAATGGAGAAAAGGCAGATAACTAAGAAGGCAAAGGAGAAATTGATTTCTATCATTTTTACTTAATACATTTACCTTATATCCAAATTCCACCAAATTCATTTGTCAGTCTACATAAGAAAAGAGAATGGAAAAAAAATTTCAGAAGAAGATCAAATCAGAATAAGATCTACTGGATGGACATTTCTTTGAACCTCAATTTCTCCATCTGCAAAATGCAATGACAAGCTTCCTTTTAACAATTACATCTAAGTAGTTCAGACCTACATGTCTATTGAGAGCAGGCAAACAGACAAAATATTTAAAATAATAATAATTTCTTCATAAAAGCATCAAAGAGATAATAAGATACTGAGGAACTATTGGTTGAAAATC